CAAACTAATGACAACAAAATCAAATAAAAATCCAGTTGAACTTTATGGCGAGGACGGATGAATTGAGCTGGCAAACAGACAGAAAGATGGACGGTGGGCGATGGGACTGGGCGAACGGCCAAGCATGGAAACATAAATGGGCAGAACTTAAATCGCAAATTGTCGTTGGTCACGTGCAGTGCTTGTTTCTGTAACTGGAAAATATAGAAATAAAGGAAAAATCAACACACATTTACAGTTGTTGCTGTTAATTTTGTTGTTTCTGCTACTTCAGCCATCGTTGACTTGAAGTGGCGCTATCAAGTGCTTTAGCGTCGTTCGATTCATTGCCAATTTGTCGCCACAATCGTCGTTGCTGATGTTGTTCTTGCTTTTATTGTAGTTAATGGCGTTGTGTGTTTAAGACAAGTCAGCAACAATGGTGAAAATTGTTGTTGAGTGGGAGTGGGAGTGCGAGTGGGAGGATTGTGTGCAAAGAAAAATTGAATTGCTTTGATTGCTGTAGGCAGTTACATTTTAGTTCCGGTATTGTACTGCAAGACGGATAATTTCATCTAGAGGTTGCTCTATAAAACTCACCAAATCTAGGAAATACTGAAACAGTTACAGGACTACTGTATGACTACTCTTAGCTCACCTTGTCAGAGGCATATTGCGTTTGATTAAAAGAAGGCGTCCTATGCCCGTTGTTGTCGAGACAAATGGATATAGCTATGTTTGACTGCCTTTTCCGTTTACTATGCCTGCCTCTAGTTCTGTCTGTCCAGCAGCTAAGTTTGCATGAAACTTCTTCGTTTATAGAGATATAGCAAGCATTTGACTTTAAAGAAGACCAGATACACATGTGCCTATGAAAGTACAATTATTGGGTAGCTAGGCCTGGATTCACAGCAAGTAAAATATTGTAGATATCAGCTTATAAGCTGGACTTGATAAAAGACTGTTTATCTTCTTGAATAAACATTAATTAGGTAGTTTCTCACAACGCAACTGTTGCCTACTAATGCATAAATAACTAATCAGCATTAAATGAAATTTTAGCTAACTTATCATATTAGAAGATAAAAAATAATAGAACCAGTTTTTATAATATAATATTATAATAGGTAACATTTTTTGGCAATGGGATTCAATTATCTTTAGCGGAAAAAGTGACTTTATAAAAAGCATTTTATAGCATTTTATATTTTTAAATAATCGGAAATCTCTCCATTCCCATATGACTAACTTTTTATCTATCTAAAATTATTTTTCATTGTGTGCATGCTTTTAGAGTTCTTCTTTCCCTGAATTTTGAACAACTTCAGATAGACTGCGAAAAGGTCATCTGAAAGGCCTACACTTGGAAGCCAAGAGTTTGCCGTCTGGTTTTGTCAAACCCTTGCAGATACATATTAATGCCAACAAATTATACTAACACATTCTATTCATAGCTGGTCCCCTTCCAGGGTAAACTTTGACCAAACATTTCCATTACATGTTCTTTCAAAGTAAGCTTCCCTCCCAAAAAAAAAAAAGGAAAAAAAGAGCGGAGAAAGAAACCAAAACCCCTTTATATTTCCCTATACCGATACATTCATACTTATGCATGTAGAAAAAAACATAAACAAGCTCTTTGATTTATTTGTTGATATTTTGTGTAACATGTTGTTGTTGCTTTGTCTTCTACCCTACTGCCCCGGAGGCTATACAAGAGGCGCCAACTTGCTGGATCGCTTATTTATGCATGCGACGAAAAGCTGCTAGCTCTTGGTTCGGACCAAGAAAACAGCAGCAGCAGCTCCAGCTTTCTAAATTTCAGTTTCAAAAGCGCCTGTGGTGTTCGACAACAAATGATCTAAATAATTACCTCATGGACAAGAGCATTTCTCCACATGAACTGATTGTCCAAATATTTTCATTTCAATTCGACAGCGCCGAGAATAAATAAATAAATAATGCGAAAGGCAAACGCAAAGGCTGGCTTCTATAGTACTTATGTACAAATGTATTGCTGTGCTTGTTTTTATTGTAGTGACTGATTGACTAGATAATTGCTTGGCACTTGGCATCCAATTGCCCTAACAAGTGAGCAGCTTGTTCTCTAAATAAGTTGTGCAATTGAAAAACTGGTATTCCTGCAGCTGTCATGGCAATCAATGCACTTACCAATTAAGTACCAACCAAGTATGTGCAGGCATTCAAGAAACACTCAATTTAAATACTACGTATGGATTTACAATTGCTTTCTACCGTCTACATTGTTCAGATACGGACAAGCGAGTCGGCGAAATTTATTGACATGAGATGTGAATTTCAAAAAAGCTTGTACAAAAAATGAAAACAAATATCCAAACACTAGAGGCAAGAGACAGCGAAAAGAACTCGGGCGCAGCATGTTGACGCCCACTTTAAGTGGCACAATTATGAGGCGACAACACGCGGGCGAACATCACTCGAAGAACTCGAGATGGAGAAGAAGATGGAGATGGGCCATGTAGCTAGTTAATTATAGAATACATCATGCGAGAAATTTGTTGCATGCACCATTAGCAACAAAATGTCCATCAGCGATGAGCAGCATAAACGTTGTTTCCATAGTTTTTCATTTCCTTTCACTGCAGAGTCTGGGGAGTCTGACAATTTCGTCAAAATATTGCCGCCAATAAAAATAAGCCGCTCGGTGGGCCAACACTGAAATGCGCTTTTTGTCACAATCAGTCAGTCAATCTGTCAGTCAGTCAGTCAGTCAGTCATTCAGTCACTTCACCAATACAATTCGGAGCGTGTGACAAATAAATCGTTAGCTGGCGACTAATTTCCGTTTCGAATCAAAGTCAAATCGATGGTGCGCGAATGCAAAAAAGTCGCCAAAGTCGCGCCAAAGCCGCACAAACGAATCATTTCATTTGAATTCGAATTCGAATGGAATGGCAGCGAAACCATTTCTGTGTCGAGCTCATCGTTGCGCTTTGTAATTAGACCAAAAAAAGTACATACTATATGTATGTGTTTGCGCTTTTCTTTCATTTGTTGAATGGCCGCAATTAGCAATTGAACTCGAACTCTGTGTGGCCTGCCGGATCTCTGGCATTTGTTGGCATCCCTTTCATACATAAATAAACGGGTATGTTCATACTATATACACTTTATATATATCGGAGTGCGTATTTATTTCTGTTCTAACTCATTTTGGGCCAACATTTTTATCGCCTTTGATCTTGTGACCCAATTTCCACTACAAATTGCATTTGGCTTCAATGAATTATAACGTCCATGCCCCATTGGAATTGCCTCAGTGTTTGGCGCCTCCGAACATTTGTTAAGTGGCCGGCCCTGCACTGGATTCGGTTCGAGTTGTTCTTCCGATTTGACACCAGCCCTCTAATACTTGTAGGGCCTGCTTCATCATTTCTCATGTGATTATTAATGGCTCGATTAGGCTTTTCGTTTAATTGCTTTCCGCATTATTAGTCCAACCGAATGAATAAGCAGCAAGAAAAACTGATCTGACGACGCAAATACTATCTATACTAGTATATATTAAATGAAATTTGGACAAATGGTAATGAAATTGAAAACTAAAGTATACTAACAAGGCATTTGTCGATAGAAGAAAATCTCACTTTCATAAAATGATTAAACAAATAAAAAATGTAAAAAGCAAAACTATTAATTTGTTCACCTTTCAATGCTATAGCTTTTTTTAGTGCTGTGTCATTAAACTGAAGACTTGCAAGAAAAGATTTAAATAAAATTCAATAGCATTAGTATCCAACAATTTACTGAACACAGCTTATTTGCAATTTTTTACAGTTGCCTAATCTAAAAAGTCCTATACCAAATCCATATTGGAGAACCTTTTTAAGACACACTGTTGCCAAAGCTTAACTGCTGAGTTCACGCCCTTTTGATGCAAATAAACCGCCTATTGTGAAGACTCATGTTGATAATCATAATCCACTAATGCGGCAATTACATAAAAGCTTCAAATTCCACTGGCCTAAAGCGTTCGAAATCCGAGATCACTTTACATGCAAAGCACGAGGAGCCCATTACAGCAATTAATCGAGTAAAACATACAGCAACAGCGTTTTGCGTAATGTTTTGGAATTTAACAATAATTTACAATATTCGGCACGCATGGCGGCTCCTCATAGGCAGAAGTGCATTTAATTAATTAAATTGCAGTAAACATTAATGCCACTACACACAGCAGACACAGAAAGTATTCATAATCTAGATAAACGCTAACAAATATTTTCCAAATGACCAGAGCCGAACAAACAAGAAAATACAACAACAACAAAAAGCAACAAAAAACAAAACAAAATGCAAAGCCCGAAAAGCTGTTTGCACAACTGAGGCCTCGAAAAATAAGCCGTCAACGGGTGGCAGACATTCATGGAGGCATGTTGGGGCAGAGGCGCTGGCACGTTCGACACGCCCATCTGTACTAGCTGTTGGTGTTGTTGTTGTCGATATGGTGTTGCAATACAAATATGGAAAAAATAATTTGTATAATTACAATGCTTTGATAAAGCGAGACAGCCCAAAAATAATGAAAAAGACATCGCGGCAAAGGCGTCGATGGTGATGCTCCACCCAGACCCACGACCCACTCCCACTCCCCATTCCCACTCCCACTCCCACTTAATTGCCACCAGCCGCGCTTGCCACTGCGGGCGGCACGCACAGTGCGACGCCGACCAACATCGGGTGAAACGTCGACGTCGCCACGTCGCGTACTGAGGCGCCACTCGCCGCTGTGAGTTGACATTCCGGTGATGAGTCTCTCCATGTTGGAATCCGCACAATGCCCGGCGCGCACTTACGCCGATTACCCTTTCCACGGTCGCTGTGGCCGTCAGCATTATGGCTTATCATCAAAGGAAATCAAACTGTCAGCCAATTTATAGTATAGTTGTGCGCATCGTTCGTATATTCGTGCATACACATACTACTGCGCTGCGCTCGTACAGTTACTATATATCGAGATATGTACGGAGATAGACACGCATATGGTTGAGAAGCGAACACAGCAGCAGCAGCAGCAATACCAAGAACAGCCAGGCTGTCAGTCAAAGTTCACTCAAATACATACATACTTGTATTTCAATTAATTGAAGCCCTTGGCGCTCCAGCGCTCAGTTCTACGAGTATTTGCCATTTGCATTGTGTGTGATCCAATGGCTTCAATTGGAGCAGTAGATGTGGCATGTTAAAGGTCCAACACACCCACACAGCCAACACGACATCTGAAAACTTAATATACTTGTACTCCATTGAGGTACTAATGTTGGCATACACGAACTTATCCTTGCGTGCTTTATTCTCTTGCAGGTCCACTCTCGGAGGTTCTAACAGCCGTAGGCTCTGAAGTATCTCTGCCCTGTGACCTCGTCTCCGGCACAGGACTACTCGACAAGGTGCAGTTGGTCATCTGGTATCGCCAAGGCAACGTAAAGCCCATATATACGTAAGTTTTTTCAAATTTTGGAAAAAAAACTTTATAAGTGAAGCCAACATAAGAGACCAAGTTTTGTTTCAAAATACTTATTACAATAGAAACTATACTATTTTGTTAGTTTCTATTTTGGCTTATGATACATACAAGTATTTGTTGATTAAAACCCAAAAACGTAATATCAAAAGAGCACCATTTATAAATGTTGAAAATTTAAGTAATTTGGTATTTCGATTGAAGCGTTTTGAAATACATATTATGGACTTTTGGGGATAACAATGTTTCAAGATATATATACACTATATAACGGCTTATACTTTATAGGGTCTGCCACAAACCCTTCTACCTGTTACATTTTTCACTTTTCCCGAACCATGGTATAAAAAAATATGAAAAGCGCTTTTTAGGTTGGGATGCACCTAATATACTTGTATTAAACTCGCAGGCAACACGCTGCCAAAATTTTAAACTTGTTATACTCGTAAATATACTACTAGACCAAGTTGGAAAATATTTGTCAACTTCTGTTGTCAATATTATTTATGTACTTAGAGCTGGAAATAAACGATGTATAAATACTTTATTCAACCCAAAAATCAAAACCCACTTTTGACCCCGGAATAGTTGGAAAGTAATAATAAATTCAAGTGTGTTAATTCTGTACTCTACAAGTAGAACTAGTTCATTAAGCTGATGGTTTTGAGGCTCATTGCAAGTGGTAGCTGAAAGCCTGAAAGCCAACGCAACTGAAGCCCCTTCTATGCCGCTGTTGCCTTCATCCGGATTCTCCGAGCTAAACGCCAATTATGAAGACCTGACAACATACGCATCGCTGACAATGTCGACAAAATACGTAGTCGTAGATGCCGAGTAGGTCTAGGTGTGTGTGTGTGTGCTCATTATAAATTCTATTAACGTAAGGCATTTATGTTGAATTTGACGATATCAACATTACTTACAAACGCTCACGGACGGAGAAGGTAGAGAATACATGCATGTATTTGCTGGAAAAGGTGAGGAGTACAATATTTTCGAAAAGTAAAAAATAAAAATTGTGCCAAGACCCAAACAAATTTTAACAAGCTTCGAAGCAAGAAATACACAGGCACAGTAAGTAAGTAAGTCAGTATGCCAAAGTACAGGAAATATGAAAAGATGGGGGCACAATGTGTGTGTGTGTGTGAGTGTGGATGCATTCATGTGTGAGTGTGTACGAGCATGTTGTTAGCGAAAATATTCGAATACACAGGGCACAGGCAACTGATTGGCAAGGTGTGTAGCAAGTTGCAGAGCGACTGAGATACTCGTACAAGCACAAATTCTCGATTGAAGTTCCCTCAATGGGGAAAGTCACATCAAACGAGTGGGAATTTCCATGGAATGGTGACAGACATGCAGTAGACCAGAAATTGATTTTCCAATTGGTTTAGTCAAGTGCCAAACTTGTCAATCCCTTCTCAGCTTTCCTTGCCAGCTCTTATTTTGAACGTGTGCGTGCAATGCTGCCAGTTGTTGTTGTTGTTGTTGCTGCTGCTGCTGCTACCGTGACATAAGCCTTAAAATCGATTATGCCAAGTCAAAATGTCAATGTTTAATGTGCTGCTATTGATTTACAATATGGCCTGCGGCTGCCCTGCAATTGCAGTTCGGGAATGTGATCGACGCGACGCCCTCATGCCTCATGCCATTTACGAGTACGGGGATGTACAATGAGCGTGCGCACGGCCGTGGTTTTTATGGACGCATAAACTTTACGGGCACAACTCCGTTTGCCACCTACACCTCCTGCTCGACAATTTAACCCACAACAGAACACATTCCCCGCTATCAGCCGTGGCATGAAAATCGTTTTGTTGGCATCGTTTTTCAGCCCGCACATTTTATTGTTTTCCATCAATTTTAATTTGCTTTTTCTACACTTCATAAATTTTGTTGGTGCTGTTGTGGGTTTTCGATGCTATTCTAGGGCGCTTTTACGGCTGCGTGCTGGAAATTTCAATATGCTAGATGCACAGACAACTCCTCGGTTCAAGCCCCAGGCCAAGAGATTAATTGCATGAGAAATTTGTTTCACAATTGGGCGACGCTGCATTTTCGGGGATCAGGTATGCAGCTCCAACAAACCAACATTCAAAATATTCTCAATTGCCACTTTGACGGCCTTTCCAAATTTGCTGCCTACTGTGCGCATTTATTTCTGGTATTGTTTCGAGCGCATTTCTGGCTTCTGAGCATAATTTAATTATTTGAAAATCCATTAACAAATATCCATCCATCATACCCCACTTCTACTTACTATACTTGTTCTTCATCTGCAGTCTCCATCGTTGGCGGCTCCAGAGTGCATTTGAATGTGTTCCCGGTCAAATGCTGTGATAAATCACCAGAGAGAGTGCCGGGCACAAAAAGCTGCCTTTTGTGATGTGTGATAATCGATGGATATGGCCTTGCATGGCATTGATATTAATATGGATGGCTTCAGTTCGTCCAAACTCAGCTTTCTGCTCATAACGTTATTATTGTCCTGCCTGCTGGCAATTCGGCCTCACTTGCACTTCCCATGAATACAGTACTGCAGCAGAGATATGCCTTAGTGTTGCTTTCTTATAATTAGAAAGTAAATAAAGTTCAAGTTTCAGAGCTCCAGACAAAACCGTCGCATTAATTGCAGTATCACAGCTTTGTCAATGTTTTGTTCAGGTAAGGGCGTAAGGACATCCTGCTCAATAATTTGATAAATTGCCTTTTCTTAACCTTGTTATCATGACAACTAGACGACGTTTGTAAAACCCAAATAAACAGAGTGTCCAAACATTTTGACTCATGAGTTAGTCGGACAGTGTATCAAATGGTATTCGAATCAATTTCAAAGAATCTGCATAAATAAAATATGAATTGTGTATTATATATTATATCTCGATTTCTAAAACTAATACTGAGTTTTACTTTAAAAATATTGAAAAAATTATTTATTTACCAATTAGTTCAAGTTTTGTGAAATTACCAAATATAAGAACATATATATACTTGTGTATATGTTGTCTCGAATTAATCAGCCTTAGATTGCTTATCTCTGAAAAACAAATGTCTTTGCTTTAAATATGCCCTTTCATCTTCATCCATATTCAAATGCCATCCATTCACATTGAAACGGCCCTGGGTGTTGGCGGTTTTAACCATAAATATGGCTGTGGTCTTCGTAAAATCTCCGAGTCACATAAAAAACGACAACCACACCACACCGATAAAAAGCGCACAGATTTAACAACTTTATTGAAAAACGTAAAATGCCGCCGTCTGGTTTTTAATTTTATTTTAATTCTTTGCGCTTTAAACCTACTTAACTGTGGTTTGGCTAACAGCAACAAAGAGGAAATTTAATGCACTCAGGAAATAAAGTAAAGTAAAATGAAAATACACATACACAGATGCATAATGGTGTAATGTGCATGGACGAAATGAAATCGGCTTAAAAAGGAAACAACGAGCGCTAAATTGATCAATTAATTAATTGAAGCGAACTATAAAATGGGAAACGCTACCGCCTCTTCGCCCCACCACCCCCAAATCCCCAACGCTTCAACGCCCCAACGCCCCAACGCCCGACCAGCGAACGAATTAACATAAACAGCAAACTTTATTTTTCGTTGGCGCTGGAAAAACAAAATAGCAACTACAACAGCAACAACCACAGAAACAAAGCGGAATGGGAGCGCGGCTGAACACAAAAAGGGCCACGCGAATTTGGAAAAACAAATTTAAAATGTACAAGAGTCATCAAATTAAATGTCACAGAAGCACACACACACACACACACACATAGTCGAACAGGCACAAAGGTATTAAAATAAAAAATCAAACCCATGTGCAGCTTGACAAAGGAATGAAAGAAAAAATGCAGATTAAAGAAGCAAGAGAAAAGCTGTAAATTAAATGAAAACATTTAAGATACAAAAAAGTGAAAGAAGAAAACAAAAGCGCCCGGGAAAATAAAAACTGAAATGTATCTAAAAAGAAGAGCCAAACGTTCTGACTTGTGAGGGGTGAGTGGGGAGGAAAATTTCATTTTCAACTTGCTGATGAAACGAACGTTTATGTTGTTCATCAATTTTCTATAAGAAACTTATGAAGGAACTTATCCGAACAACCACAATCTAACACTTTATCCAAAGTATATCAATATTGGATAATTACTTATATAATTACAGGGTCAGTAGTAATGAGAAGTCTATATTCAAAGGCATCAATAAATCATTTAGATTTTGCGGAATACATTTTTTTTTTTTTTTTAATTTTTAAACAAATAAAGCAACAATATATTTTCACGGAAATGTTAATCTTGTCACGGGCCCATCTCTAGCTCTTCCCGAGCGCAGCCACCAACTGCAATTTGATTATTTACGATTTGTTGTTGTTGAGGTTGTTGTTGTTGGTATGGCTATGGGCGTTAACATTTAATGCTGCATTTTGTCAAAATGCATAGAAAATGCTATAAACAAAAAACGTTTGGTAATAACAATAAAAAGTTGCGTGTATTTTTTCTATGTCCTCCATTATGTGATTCTATGAATATGTATGTAGTTTGCTGTTCTTTGTTTGTTTTATTTAGATGTTGGTGGTGGAAAAAGTTAATTAGACATTCTATTTGTATGACAATTGAGTGAAATTTGAGTGAATTTTGCTGGAAACATTTCAGCTTTCAGCTTTTCAATCGCGTTTTATACGCGATTTGACACAAATTTTACTTTTTGTTTCTGTTGACTTGATGGCTACAAAATGAAATTGATCGATAAGGGAGAAAAAATCTATTCTTGTGAAAAAGTGGATGCCGTGATTGTTGAAACGTGAAAAAAAAAAAAATTCATGAGCTCAACTGAACATTTCAACATTTCAAGCATTAACAAACCAAAGTAATAGTTTTTTTCATATTTTTTTTTTGAAATTATTATATTTTCGCGGACAATAATCGAATACAATTCCTACAGTCCTCCAGTTATAAAAGGACTTGGCAGTTTCAGATATAAAGTATATATTAAGCAATTAAGCTCCAAGCACAATTACAAGTAAATGGGGCCACACTCAACTAATCGATTCAGCAGGCCAACGAGGACTAAATTAGGCACTTACTCCTATTAATAATGCCAACAACAAAAGAAATGAAAGTCAATTACCAAATTAACATGAAGGCACTTGTGTCTGTCGAAATTTGTTTATTATGAAACCATTTGTGTATCTAGATAGTCGTACAACAAATTGATTTGGGGCTGCGCGACAAAGTGGCTTGTCCCAGCAGTGTGAGGTTATCCTTGCACTTGCTATGTAGTAGAGTATATCCCACATCTCTGATGGATAAGTGTGTACTTACAATTTAAATAAATTGAATTTCTCCTGTCTGCCCCTCCTGCAGATTCGATGCGCGCAATCGTCCAATGCATCAGGCCATACCCTGGGCCGATGAGAGCGTCTTTAACAAGAAGGCACACTTCTACTACGACACAAAGCCGCCGGCTTTGCGCATCAAGAACATACAAACCTCAGATGCTGGCCTCTACAAATGTCGCGTTGATTTCCATAAATCACCGACCCGGAATTGGCGAATTAATGTGACAGTTTTGGGTGAGTATAATGCTCAGCTAGCTAGAGCAAACAAAACAATGTCCTATAACCGTCCTCATCGTCTCTCTCTCTCTCTTTCTATTGTTCAGTGCCGCCCACCATGCTCACAATCTTGGATCACAACGGGGCGGCCATACGCGACCAAACCGCCGGCCCCTATCTCGAGGGTGACAGCATTAACTTGACCTGCCTGTCCAGTGGTGGTATTCCCCCTCCTCGTGTTTCTTGGTGGCGCGAGCACGCTCTTGTGGATGACTCGTTCCAGGTGCTGCCCGACGGTTCGGTGCGCAATGTACTCCATCTAAAGAATATCCAGCGCAAGGACTTGCTAACGGTGAGTGTCCTGAACCGTTGCTATTGCCTAACTTTTCAGAGGCCCTTACTCAAATAATGCATCCATCCACTTGGTGCGCATATCCAGAATGAGAAGATACTATATGAAGTTCTTAAGCCCTATTTACGACTGCAGTGCATTCAACAAAGTTTTCGGGTCGCACAATACTCCGCTGAGTGGGCCAGATAAGGTGGTGGGGGCCTGCACAGGCATTTAAAGGCCGCTTTACGTTGCCCATTTATTTCTGTTAGCCACAAAAGCATCGCCATTAATGACAGCGCGCGGTGTGGCCCGAAATGGTCCACAATGGCTAATAGAAATCAAAGTGGCCGGACAGCAAATGTGCTCTGAATGAAGCTTCATGGGGGCTACCGCAAGCTACATTTTCCACTGGCATGGCCCGCATCGAGAATTGTTCAATGGCCATTTGAGCCGGTTAGCAGAGCTCTGCAGTGCTCTGCTCTCCCCTTTGAGCTGGGGCCGGGGAGCGGGCGATTCTAAGCCGATTGCGCGCGGTTTGTGTAATGAACAATATTGTTAGACCGCTAATCCAGGCATTCACTCTGGAACCTGCATCTGCGAGCCCTTTCAACCGCTGCCCGCTCGGTGTACAAATTGTCTCCCATTGTGCCACGTGGAAGTCGCATTGTATTTGTGCGATGCTGAGCTCAAATCATCTGCTTTGTGAATGCTCCTCAGCACGCCACCATATTGAGGCACACACACACACACACACATCCACAAAAGGGGGCACGTGTAATACCAAAAATTATTACTTCAGAACAGAAGCTCTGTATGTGTCACATTGAATTTGTTTGGTTTATTCAGTGTTTCACCTTTGACATTTCATATCCGTAAAAGGCGAACAAATAAGAAGAGGTATTCTCAAATGAAGTGCCCCATCTGGGGGTCTTGTAAGACTGTAATATTCTATAGAACACCAACAGAAACACAAATGCCACTTACTATAGTCTAAAATGTTCTTGAACGGGTGGGAATAAATAAATAATTGGTTAGCAGCACAAAATCTTGGCCCCTACAATGCTGTATATTCGCTGATTGATGATGAAGCATAACTCTATAATTCACATTTAATTCTTCGCCACCATTGTACACATTATCGGCAAATCCAAGGAATAGCTTTAAGTGAAACTACTTTGAATCAAGCTCGTCAAATGCTGTTTTCAAGAGTGCTTTGCATAAGTTGAAGTTATAGACAATTCTCTTGGAATTATATAATAAAGCTGCCCAGGGATGTCCACATTTGTGCAAAGTCATTAATTTCCATTATATTGCATAGTATTAATTCCCAGTAATTAACTAACTAACAGCAAATATGTACTTCAATTAATCGAGATATCTATAATAATTCAGTCGTAGATTTCAGTCCTTACGATTGACCCCGGCGGGTGAGCTGCCACCATTTACAAGTCTACTCGTTTGTCAAAAAAAAAAAGAGGCAGCTATAATTATATGATTAACAGCTGCACACAACGAACTCAATTTGAATTTGAAAGCCCCTAATGCGTAAACAAAGTAGAGTAGACAACTAAAAACCGTTATGCTTCGACTAATAAAAACAAAGAGACAAGAAAAAACGTTGTTGCACTATCCATAAACACCTCTGGACAGCCCGCTGGGAGAACACGCGCCTAGGCGGGCGGTCGCTTGGTCGGTCGGTCGGTCGGAACAAGCGAATGTATCCATAACAAATATTGTGTAACCGAATGAAATTTATGACCTAATTTCCCAGCCAAACGACACTTTGACACACTGTCGTGAGCATAGATGTGAACGCGTTGCTTGTCGCTGCCGTCGCGGGCCGTTTTAAATTCCCCCGAGTTATGCAAATATTTTTATTAGCCATCGTTACAATTTTCGTGCCCCAATAAAATGTCAAATTCGAACCAAATATGGCCAAAAGTATCGCATTACCTCCAGACCCGGCTGCCACAGCTAGAGTTCGAGAATTTATGATATACTCGTACATGCATCGTCGGCACTCGAGGTGGCCATCGTCATTAAAATCGTCGCCGCTTTTTTTTTCTGCTATTATTATTTGTCGGCTTTGACCTCTGAACTGTTCGTCTATTGAATGCTCATAGAAATAACGGACCTTTGCACATAATTGATTAGCTTTTGTTTGGCAATGTGCGTGCCCGTTTGCGTATCTCCACTTGTGTGTTTTTCTGTGTATCTGTGTGTGTGTGTGTGTGTGTGTGTGTATGCGTGCGTGTTATGCGAACATTTCTAACGATTAAAATTAAATGTTCACCTTTGAGCATACCCGTATTTGTCCATGTTGATTTATGATCGGGCGCATACTCGTATGTATAGTATGTATGGGAGTGCCTCCCACAATTCCTGTGCTCATTATCGATAATATTTATTCTAGAGAAATTAGTTGGCCAATTAATACAATGCAAATAAATCATCTTGTTCTTCCTTCTACAGCTGTACACCTGCCAGGCCACCAATGGGCATGTTGTGGCCGCCCTGACTAAGAAAGTTGTGCTGGATCTGAACCGTAAGTGTGCGACCTAATCTTTCTAATCTTTCTATGCATGCGACGTTCTGTTGCAACTACTTATTTTCCAAAAGAAGTACATACTATACAAAAAACTGAGCTAGCTTAATATCAGAACAGAAAATCAGAACAATGTCTTTTTATCTGAGTAGATATATTGCAAGTGAATAGTGAAACTTACAGGTTTATTTCCATTTTCACTTTTAAACATGTTTCTGGGAAAGAAAATGACTGAGAACAGTTCAAGGACGCGTAGGTGCCCACCTACGAAAAGTTAAAACTCTGCCTAAAAGTTAATGTAATTAAAGTTTTGTCTCTCAAAACAAACATATGTACATATGTATAGTATGTGCTCATGCATTTATGGCAAGGGAGCCGCTTTGCTGCTGATATGCTAATCGTATTGCCCGTTGGGCGAGGTCAGCGTATAATAAAAATACTGCGAGCGTCGTAAAAATTCAGAAAACGTTGACAGCCGCCATTTAATGTTGATACAATTTAATTCCATTTCAATTTATTCTACTGCTAGCAACAAGCACAATTTAAACCTTAATTGTTCATATAAACAGCGTAGTTTAAAATAAAACATCGTATATACGAGTTTGTATAATGCCATAGCAAAGTGGAATACGTTAAATACCGGACATATACAATGAAATATCTATTAATAAATAGAAAATACCATCGTTACTTCCAATCCAATTCTATAGTGCCGCCGCTAAGTCTGCTGCTGCAGGGACTTAATCATGCCGTGGTCGCGGGCACTCGAACTCATGTGACGTGCACAGCAATTGGGGCACGACCACCGCCGCACATAGTTTGGTCTAAGGCTGGCCAAGTGCTGAAGGGAGCCTCTCAGTCGGTAAGTCAGCATCGCACAATCTAAAAGCAACAGCGTCCAAACCAGCACCTTTCACTGCAGACCTCGTCCGATGGCAATACCACAATTTCCGAGCTGATGCTCATTCCAGTTCCCGAGGACAACGAACGTCAAGTGGTCTGCTCGATCTCGCTGAATGCGGGCATCACGTCGCAGCAACTGCAAGAGGGCCACACAACTGTCATGACAACGCTGGGCAACGGCAACACTGGCCTGTATCTCAAGGATTCGCGAGTGCTGAATGTGACGCGTAAGTAGAAGCAGCAGCCGGCTAGGCGCTGGCGATGTTGACGAAAGAGCCAACTCGATAATGGACTGTCATTTGCAGACGCGCCCATTGTCAATCTGAATCTGGGCGCTCCACTGGATCCCAACAATTTGCTGAAGGGCTCCGATGTTTATCTCGAGTGCGATGTGCGCGCCAATCCGGCCATCACGCGTGTCGAGTGGTACCACAATGTGAGTAGCAGTCACCACTTGCCAGTTGTTCATTTCTCTCAACCGTCACATCCTTCCTTTCCTCCCATCCAGGACAAGCAGCTGCACTCATCGCGCGGCATCATCATATCCAACCAGACGCTGGTCCTGCAAGGCATCTCGAAATCGTCGCATGGTCAGTACTTCTGTCGAGCCAGCAATCTGCAGGGTAGCGTGTCCAGCAACGAAGTCTACCTGGATGTTAAATGTAAGTGCAAACTCAAACAAATTAAACAAATTGTTCTACTATAGCAACAATAATAAAGTCAACTAGGAAGAGGAGGGAGACTTCAGCTAATAGAAAGCCTTAGCTTTAATAGTAAGCTTCTGAATTATTCTTATCTTTAAATAAGATATTTTCAATTTTCCGGGCTGTGATGTCAATCTGTGCAGCATAATTGTTGAGCAAGAATTTAAATTATTATTTTGAATAATCTATCTACACTAATTACATTTAGTTTATATCAGACAGTTGAATATAAGTAGAAGCATATACAAATTTGTTTATGTTGTTGTTATGGATATTTCACTGTAATTACTTTAACCGTATTTTCTCACTGGTCTCAACTGCTTCACTCATCCTCACAGATCCGCCTGTTTGCAAATCGGACTCGACAATTATACGCGCCGCCCTCAAACAGACCATCAACATCACGTGCGAGGTGGATGCGAATCCTTTGGACAATCTAAATTACAAGTGGCACTTCAACAACTCGCTCGAGAGCCTCATCGAGCTACCGGCAGTGGTGCAGGGCGTGGCGCCCGTCACACTGCCTCTAGCATCCGCCGGATATTACCAGCGCAGCAAGCGGAAGCACACACATGGCGCTGGTGTGGGTGTCCAACGCCTGCTACATGGCCGCCATGGACGCATTGCCAGCATCGACATGGACACTGTGCGCTTCGAGGACGAAGAGGACGATGCATTCGACGAAGGCTTGGACTACCACGGATCCGACTATGGACTGCTATCGGAAGTACCGTACACACAAATGGTCTACTCGAACATGGTGCATAAGAACCACGTGGAGAATAAGCAACCAGCCCGCAAGCAGCAGCAGCCGAACGACAGTGGAGCCAGCGCTCATCACACCGTTGGCGGCACGCAGTACCAGCAGCAGGCAGACCGGAAGCGGCTTGCAGCGTTGCATAAGCAACAACATCATCGCGTTGCCGTGCCCACGACTACGGCGGCGCCACCGCTATACAACGTCTACAGCTACCACGTGGAAAGCTACGAGAGCTTCGGGGCTATTTCCTGCATCGCAAACAGTCCGATGGGCCAGAGCCAGCCTTGCTGGTATCACATACAGCCTGCAGGTAAGCAACGCACTTCGCAGTAAGAACTGCGCGCTGGAGCTCCACTTTAAACCAGTTCGATATTAAGTTCGAATGCATTTGCAAACAAATACTCCGCCTATAGGAGATAATCGTACTACCAGAAAAGGCATCAGCACAGCTTGGGCCCCGCCACATTTAAAAATCCAATAGAGACCTGTAAGATCTCACAAATGTGGTAATATTTTGAGCAAGTTAAGAAACAAATAATAACTGATAAGTAGTGAACAACTTGTAAATCAAAAGAACGCAAGAATTGCAAGCTCTGCAAAAATATTAGAAATTCATAAATCAAGTTCAATCAAATTAAAATATATATATATGTAGGATTGCAAACCTTCAGTCTCATTATAGAAATATTTCAGTATAAAAAATAAAAAAGGGCTAACAAATTTAAATATATTATATTACAAGTATAAAATTATAATTTCAACATTTTTGTATACCCTACAAATACTTCGAACTATAAATGTTCAATCGGAAACAACGGAATGATATCAGTTCTAATTGCCAAAATTTAACGATTGATTTGCTCTGCAGTGTTACTTAGAGGAAGTCTACATAAAGTTACATAGGCCAATCCTAAATATTGTAATGCCTTTAGTTAAGTTACGGAAATTCACATTTTCTAAATATTTGTCGCGACTAGAGCTATTGTTATCCTGTGACTGTTGCTTGTCCATTTCTAAGCATGTTGTGATGTTGAATTTTGTTGTGTTACAACAGATGAGGCCGCTAAGAAGACTAGCCATTTGTGATATATATTTATATTTACATATTTTCAATTAACAAGCATTCTTAATTAATTTGATGAACAATTTGACTATGGTAGATCATTATGGAATAAGCCAAAAGTAAAAGAACAGAAGACAAGCCTTGCAGATCGACACACCTTAGCTGGCAGGACGAAATTGTCGAGCTAGATCGTACTAATCGCTTATCACTGAATTGTTTCAGTTCTCCGACTGGTTGTTTGCATAGTCGGCCAGCGCACAAGTCAGTTAGTTAACGATAAAAAAATTTAATTAATTTTCCATCGAGTGGAGAAAATTCCAACGCACACAGCAGCAACATGTTTACTCGATTCGGGTTGAAGCTGCCGCGGGCGGGCGGTTGGCAGGAGACGGGTTCACAGGTTGGCCGGTTGGCCGGTTGGCATACAAGGTGGTCTTTTCGGTCAGTGGGCAGTAGATAATTATTGGCAAACGATGCGCCAGCGCCCGACGCACGTGACGACCACGAAGCGCGGTTCGAGATGCGTTCTGTGTAAAATGGCAAACATTTCGCAATCGTGTGAGTGGGTCTGTGTACACTTATTTACATTTGGCCATGGATATTGCAGCGCTGTGGCAATTTTACGCGTCATGATTGTTTGTTTCAGCAAACGCAGCAGCCAAGCTGCCCGCTTTCATGTCCATTTCCATGTCCATGTCCATTACTGCAAGCCACTCGCGACGCTATCGCTCTAGGGACAATAAAAGCTGCGTCTACCATGTCACCGTGTAGTTGTTGCAGTTGTCGTGTCGTTGTTGTTGTAAACTACTGTGTTGCCGATAATCTGATAATCAAACGCAATAAATTGCAACAGACATCGCGCATAAGTATTTGCCCAACGTAATGCATTTTCCGTTAAATACCTCACAGCTGTGCGGCAACCAAACGGACCGTGAATGTTGCAGCCAGCCGGGATATTGCCAGGATGAGCATTTCGAGTGTTCTTGCCAAAGCAAATTATCCAGCGATGGGTGGGAAATTTAAATGTTCTGCACTGATCCCACCAGCGGAGTTTTTGCTTAGGTTGCATTTTTAGATAAAGCATATATGTACTATTATATAAATATTTTGAATTAAAGAACATTTAACTTCAATGCCCTTATAAAAGACTAGAGTATACCCCTGTTTTCAATTCTTATTATTTGACATAGATTTTATCCAACTCTTACGTAAATTTTTAAAAATACCCTCTCTTCGGAACTCAAAGTTTTAAATATTTGATCAATATTAGATAAGTGTCCTTAGAATACATAATTAACAAGCAATTACAATTATCTACGTTATAAATAGTTTTTGATTTTTTACGACTAATGAAAAATAATGACAATTATTTAAAAAAAATTTAAAAAGGTATTTGTTTAAATTGGGTTATAATATTGGCCTTGATTTGCATGATTTCATTACAGATTTGCCAGAGCCAGTGAAAAATTGCTCGGCCTATAATGCGACCGCCAACTCGCTGCAGATACAATGCATTCCTGGCTATGATGGCGGCATACCACAGCATTTTCACGTCCAAGTCTACGATGAACTGAACCGTCAGATATTGTACAATGCATCCTATAAATATGCCGAATTTACCGTGAAGCGCCTGCCCAGTGACTCGGTATTCGTCATACGCGTGACTGCCGTCAATGCTCAAGGTCCGAGCAAAGTGGCTTATCGGTTGCGTGGTCGAACGCTTTCGGCACCGCTGCTGCGAACAGGTAGGTGGCAAACAATTTGAATTGTTTGCGTAAATAAAAATGGGAACACCATGGGCAGCATTGAATCTGAGGCCTTGGTTATTGTTTCTCTCTGCCCTTTTGTGTAGTTGTTGCTTTTTGCACCGATTTTGTATTCAATTATTCACAATTTCCATTCTTTCTCTCTCCCTTCCTCAATCCGCTGGCATTTTTCCAATTCCACAGCCTCCTCGACGGCCGTACTAGTGCAATTGACGCCGCTGCTGGGCGCCCTTGTCGGAGTCATTGCCACCCTCTTTTTGGTGGCCATTTGCGTTGTGATCTTTATCAAATTCCGAACGAAGCGCAGTCGGCGTCATGCCAGTGGCGAGGCTACGACCACAGAGGCGGACAAGGGGAGTGCGGAACCGCTATCGCGCAACATGGGCAGCCATTCAAGCCTGGAGGACAAAAACCCGGATGTGGTGCCGCAGGAAACAAACAGCGAGGATGAATTCCACCTGGAGGAGAAGGCTTTTGACCGCTTGAATATGGAATCGCAGAGGATTTTATATACACCGCCGTCACGCATTAGCACCGCATCACCGCCTCCGGCCTCCCTCTCGCCCACATTTGGCAAGCAGGTGAGCATTGGTTGTTGCTGTTGTTGTTCTGGTTTTTGGGGCTTTTCATATGGCCATCGAGTTTTTATAACAGCTCGCTTGTAGCTTGTAGATTAGAGCACACAATAGTGTGGCAATCGACAAAAAACTGTTGCATACTTTCGAGTGCCCACACATAAAATTTAATTCGTGCAATCGAATCAAAATACAATAATAAATGGTAATTGTACTTATTTGCTTTATATTCCTTATGCTGTGCATGCCTTGTGCATACACTTCTAAGTTATTCTGAACAAAATCCTGAATTGACCCCCCTTTGTGTTAGGGTGCTTCTAATATCTTGAAAACAAAGCGGCTCGAATCAAGTAAATATACACGAAGATATTAGAAGTTGTGAGTAATTCAACCTTAATCAATCAAATAATTTACACACGTGCATATTGAAACAACTTAGTGAAATGAAGCCTTCAATCGAAAGCGTCAAAAAGCCTACCTTATTCACCAATTATTATATTGAATAAATGATTGCCATTTGAAGATAAATGCTCATAGCTTGTCTATTGCTAATAAACATGACGCCGTCGCCAGCTATGGAACGCACCTTGACAATTTATTCATAAAATAGCGCACATTTGCGAATCGTCAAGGGCTCAAAGGCAAAAGTGCCAAGTGATGTTTGAAGTCACATTACTGGCGCGTACAATTTGCGCTAAAGACGAGTCAGCATTTCTAGGCACCGATTTATGCATATCTGCCAAATATGTTGTTGTGTCTGCGTTGACGCTGTCAAGCCAGACGAAGGCGCTAAGTAGGATAAGAATGGTGAGGGTTACGAGGTTCGATGAGGGCGATGACAACTTGCACAATGGCACATCGATCGCTTTGATGAGATGTGCGCCAGACATGCACACGTAACGCTGTTTCGTGTAGCTGCTAATGGCAATTTAAAAGGCAACTGATTGCCGAAGTTAAGATACCTGCATGCACCCTGACAAGTCAAATGAACTAAAACGCAGAAATTTTTGTCGTTAAGCTATTCCATCTACTCTTATTCATAAAAGTTGTGAGCTTAAACGATGGTTAAATCAAGCATGAAGCATTACTACTCAAGGTTTTCGGGCTTAAAGCAACCTAACTGTTGGTATATGGGTTAAACATTAAGTTGTTTAAGGGCTTCAGATTCCATATTAGACTTTAAGCAACAACTCAACTACGCACTTATATGGAGACTCTTCCGAAACTCACATAACCTAGAAACATATAAAGAACGAAAAAGGAACATAAAAAGTTCGCATTTTTTCAATCGACCATTCAGGCTTTTCTGTGAATCTTCTTAAATTGTTAGAAGACTGTAAACATTATGTTTAGAAACAAAACAGGCCAATTAGTGTTAGTTTTGAGTACATTTAAATGAGACATATAGTGGACCGAGAAATTCAACAGAATAATTATTGTTTGGGGCTTCAACATTCGAACATAGTTACCATTGGACAACACTGCGTATGATGAATACGCTTAAATGAGCCTGTACGTCATTTTTTGGGCTTATTCGGGTGGTCAAAAGGCCAAATATGTAATAAATAGTTAAACCAATGTATTTTGGCTAATGAGCCGTGCTTACTTGCCAGCAAGGCATAATATATTGACACTTTCACAAATTGATTTCGGCATTCTTGTGGCCCGCAAGGCTGTTGTGGCTATGCTGTGGCTGCATATCATTGACTATATGATATGGGCCTAACAAATTAACAGAATGTGCTTGTGTGGTTGCGTATCTGTATCTGCTGTCGGTGCCACAATTTAGTCGAATGACCGACGGCCTGCAGGCCAACAGGACACATGCTGCGTCAAAGTCAAGTGGCCATGTTAAATAATATAATGGCTGCAAGCAAAAACCAAAGCATACTTTTGGGCGGCACATAAAAAAGTTATGGGCAAGTGAAAAAAGCAGTTCCACTTACCTTGCAAAATTTTAGGCCAATTAGCCATACTCTTGAGTGAGCGTAAATAAATTACACAAATTAGTTAGTTTTCTCGACCATTTTTTCAGCTTCTTCTTCTACTGCTGCTGCCTTGTCGAAAAGTTAACATTTTACGCTTGGACACACAGAATCGCAATTTGGCAGCAAGGCGAAATTTGTTTTCATGTTTGTTGTTTGTCGGATCGTCCTACCGTCCGCCCGTTCAACTATCCATCTGACCCCTGCGCTTTAGTTTGCCTTGCTCCAAGGTTGTAGTTGTTTGTTGGAGGAGAGGCGGCCTATGCAAATGTTAGTGTTCGACAATGTTAAAAAATTTATAGTTGTTCTCCGGTCATAAAATTGTTCAAACAAAGAGCACCACAACATTTTGATGAGTTAAATTTTGTTAAATTTGCTTTTGTTATTTAGTTGGTCAACATCAACTGGATCTGAGTCTGAATCTGTTTCCAGCTCCACTTATGGCCTGTCCAGCCCTGCATTGCCCGGACGTCCTCAACTGTACAGCATCTAACAAGCTCATTAAGCTGAAATGTTTTTGTTGGTGTTGTTATTGTTGATGTTTTTGGCACAGCAAATATGCCGCAATTGTTTGCTTAACAAGTTAAAAATACTGGACTAAAGTTTTGAGCAGTAAATATAGCAACAATAATAGAGCAGCAGCCACAACAATACCCGTACAGTGATCCATCCTAGTAATATGTTGCACACAACCACTATTTGTTAGTTGAGCACATTTTTTTCCCAATTTTAATTGAGTGTAAGAAGTTCTTTGTGTAATTGCATCTTAAATAAACGACGCACAGAAATATTTGGTCTAGCTAACAATAAGAGACTGAAGTGTATGTGTTCCGCCTTCTTGGTACAACACCTATTTAGGAATGCTCTTTAAAGCACTTGATGTTTTTTGAGGCTGCATTTTGTCTGTTTCTGCTTGGATTTCTAAACTTCTTTTTTTTACATACAAGTATATACAATTAAACTAGTTTTCTACTACCAATATAGCAGCTTAAGCTAGTTGAAAGTTAGGGAATACAAAAGTTGTCTATAGTAAGCATCTATAGGACGCACTTACATCTATGTATATACAATATGTACAATGTTTTTCATGAAAAATGAAATTATATTTTATGATATATATTTTATACAAGGGATCTTGTGGGGAGATCCTTTGGATGGCACTTCTTCAGTCTTCTCTTCTTAGGTTCGGACAGGAGCCGCCTCGTTAGTGCCCGCTGTGCTCTAAGAGGGTGCAAAAAAAGTTTAACGAATTTAAATATGCAGGAAAATTAATGGAAGTTGCACTTTGCATTTTAATTATTCATATTATTCATCCATGCCCCCTCCCTACCCTTCTCTCTTTGCAGTATGGCGAGCTGTCGCTGACCACAAACCCAGCTTTTAGCCTGTACAACACGCCACAGCGCGCTCCCGCTGCCCAACGACCCGTGTACACGGCACCACCCCCGCTGCTGTCAACGAGGACGCCACCCAACATTTACACACGCATACCGGGCCGAGGCAGCATTAACGGTGGTGGCGGCGTCACCACCGCCGCTGCCTACTTGCCCGCCTACGAGACTCGCACGTCGCCCACCTCGCCGTACGGCTCGACTACGACCTGCACTATGCCACTTCTGGGTGGCCAATCAAACGGATCGCTGCAAACTAACAGCAGCGCCGGTGGTAGTTGTGGTATCGGTGGTTTGGCCGGTGCTAGCCACACATTGCCGCATCCAGGTAGCCTGCACTTGGGCGGCATATCGGCGGCTTTAACCAGTTCAGTGACATCGGGGAACATTACGATTGGGGCTGCACAGTCGCTGCTGACCTCGCCACGCGCCCAAACCGCCTACAGCACCATGAGCGGTATGGGTAATGCCACCTCGACCGCCCTAACATCGCAGTCGCCCTTGCTGGCCGTGGGCAGCGCACTGCTCGGCGCTGGAGGCGGCGGTAATTACGAAACGGTGAGCTCCTGAGAGTTACCCAAAGAGGACATTAAATGTCAGATCGTTTGCATTGGCGGGAGTAGTACGTGCACCACATCGGGCGCGGAGCGCACTACAATCGTTTAGGCGCTCGAAGCGTCGAGCCACAGTCCCATCCTGTATAATAGTAGTTAAGCTTTCGCTGCGTTTCGTCCTCCCCTGTTTTGTGTAGCCTTCAGGACTAAGCCCAACATTTCGGAATTCCCATTTGATTTGCACGAAGCGAAGCGAACAAATTTATAAGACTTCCAATTGCAGAACGGATATTATATCCAGTAGATATTTAGTTGAATCAGAGAGATATAGAAAAAATATAGAGGGGGAGTTGCGCATGTCTGTTTAGCGACTAACCAAACCACAAAGATCAAAGCATTTATAGTTTACCAAACTGAACTAGATGACGGATAAATCGACGTAGACTGCTTAAAGGTTGGACAACGCCTGTCTGTCACGGGCAACCTGGAGCCCAAGACCTGCAAGTACAGTGGTGCAAAAGTTGCTGGAAGATGTGAATGTGAAAAATGTGAAGCAAATTGACTTTTTCATTGCGAAGTCCAGCTTAGCCCCGCGAATCTACAAAAAAATATACATACTTTAAAATAAAAATATATATAGATATATAGTATACTATATACACTACTTGAAATACTTTGTGCGAAAATATTTCAGTGAAATTAATGAGCTACGCTTGTGAGATCATAAATACAGTTAGTTTAAATAATACAATACCTACAATAATTAAACGAATGAAGTTTACGGCAACTAAAACACACAAATCTAGCTTAAGCTAAACTTGTAAATATTATGTAGGCTAAGCTAATGGAATTTAAAAACAAGTACGTTTAATTTAAGCCACTAAACTAATATAGCATTAATAACTGAATTAGTTAGTCACATTGAATCTACGAAAAGACTATCCCTCGATAAAAAACAAATCCTGAGTATATTACAGCCCAAATATATGGTATAAATATACATATATGTATACATATACAACATATAGCACAATATTAACTGAAAATACATAAATCATAATGAAATGCGCAAATCAACATAAACGATACATGTATGTACATATATAAGTATACTATTTGATATATAGAGAAAAGGTATTTTGTTAAATGTGAAGAATTTTATGTGCATCTGTTGTCAAACTTTATCGAATTATATCTACATACTCATACATACATATGTGTAACTAAAGCGCGTTCAAAAATTGCCACCTGCCCAGTTTGAAATTCAACTCTTGGACACGCCCATACAAAGACACGTCTCCTTCTACACAACCCCCTTTACAAGCTCTAACTAATTGATTGGAAATTGTTGAAATTGTTTATTTTGGAAATGAACCGTTCAGAACAAAAATTCATGCAAGTGCTTCTTCAAAAACTAAATCAAATTAAATTGTGACTAAAATTGTAAATTAACCTTCAATTTTGTTTTGTATAATTAGACTATTTATTTGCGTTTAATTATTAACATTAATGTTTCTTGAATTTTAGTAATACTATTTCATGCAATTAAAACGGCATTTAAACTTTCAAATTTCTGTCAATTATATTAATTTGTAAGTACGAAAACATTCGTATTTATTTGAAAATAATTTAGGGGAATAATAAACAAAATAATATTACAAGTTTCTTACGTGTAATAAGAACTAAAGCTTAAAAAATAATATTGAAAAAGTAAAAAAAAAAAACGAAAGTATGTGCAAAAAATAAATAAACGGAAAATATACAAAAAATTCGTTGTTTTATAAATTTCTCATTTATACGTAAATCACTAAATCACCTTTCAACTAATGACTTTGACATTGGCCATGCAGTTTCAAGTTAATTAAAAGTTGTGTCCGATAACAAATTCTTCGACTAATTTGCTTCGACTCTGCGACAAAACTCTCCGACTTGAAAAACTCCCACAATGCAAACGATTTTATTACTGGACAGACGAGTTGTTGGTTGTTGACCATCAAATTTAATGCCGGGCCAAGGCTGATCAGAAAACATATTTATACTTTTCACACTTAGCTGTAAAGAACTAGTCAATCGTTTATCAAATTACTCATCAACGTAATGAGATGACGAATACTGGTTAATGTCCTCAAAATTCGATAAAAAGTTGTTCAGAAATTTACAATTTTGATGAAAAATGTCTTAAAAACCAAACGAGCCCTTTTAAATTATAAATTATTTTTAGCAAAGTGCTTTGTGTTTGATGTCATTTGGGGTCATCAAGGATAATTACAAAAGCAAAGAAGTTTCTTCGTTTATTTCGATGTTCTTTCCCCATGTGATTTATCAAGCATAGTTTTTCATTATAATTATTTTTTGTTCATAACCTAAAATTGTGTTCATGGCATTTGAACAGTTGTCGATAATACTTAGTTGGCTCGGACTTGAACAACGGCTGAGAAAGCATAATTGCTTTCTAGTGCGAGTATATACATAGTTACTCGTGTATGGGCTTACAAGGCGGAAGAGTGTTTAAGGATTGGGGCCGCGCTTTGTTCATTGCTCACACGACTGTTGTGGGGTCGGCGCTAATGACAATCTCCACCCAACTACAAACACATATTTGCGACATGAGTTTGACTACACACACTCGTATTTGTCCTTTTTGGCAGGACACGCAATACACTTTTGGAATTAATTAACGAAACACAAGCTTCGCTGTCCGCACAAATCTAAAAACAACGCATTTATGTCTGCGTAAGTGCTTGTGTTTGTGAGTGGGTTCGACTTGGGGTGTAGGGGTGAGGGTGGGCGTGGGCGTGGGTGCGGGTGAGTGGGGGAGTGAGTTTGTTTGTCAGTGACGCCTGTCTCGACGAATCCTGTGGCGAAACTTGTCACAGACTAATTTCGTGTCTCAGCTCATAAATTGATATTAATGAGCAGGCATATTTTTCGCGTTTCAAATTTGCTTTGCCATGCTCGCTTCATGATTGTTGTATTTGTATTTGTTGTCGTTGTTGCTGTTGTTGTTGTTTCTGGTGCTGTTGTGGTTCGTTCTACTGTTGTTGTAGGTCTGCCGAGTGTTTGACTCTGACAGTTACAAAGTGCCCCGAAGTATTCGTAATTTGAGCATGCAGATGGAAAGCATGCGTCCTGCGGTTATTTAACATGAACATGAGTCGCCATTCCCATTGCAAACAAATCTATATACTCGTACATACACACATATGCATGAGTATGTGGGTCCTGCCAGGAGACTAGCCCCACCACCGCTGGGAGCTCAATCACATTTCGTTCTCGTGTACAGCAAATTGAATGAGAAACTCGTGTTTTCATATTTTATTTGCTTGCAGTGGGCATGGCATGTCTAAAAGGTAAGACCATATGAACGCATACAAATATTAAATATGAATAAAGGAGCCTACGCTCACATACTAAGCTCGCAGCCTCAGCTCCTCCTACTGTTAAATGGTATTGTGTGGATTTCAGTTTCCCGGAATTGTTCGTCTATTTTCAGCATTTCATATGAAAATGGTAAACGAATTGAAGTACTACTATGTAGTACTAAAGAAATATTTAACAAAATGCTATAAAATTTTTTAAAGTAAATTACCGAGCAATAAGAAAACAATTCTAAGCCAACGAAAAGTGTAAGTGAATTTCAACTGATAGTGAAAAGTATTATTGACAAAACAAATAAAACAAGAACGGAATGCTAAAGTCGAGCAGGCTCAACTCTTAAATACCCTGTACCACCCCACCAAAAAAATATTATTTAAAAAATTTAGTTAATTAATTAAATTAAGTATAAAATATTCCATACATGCATACATACATTTACATTTACATCAGAATCGTGTCTATTCGTGTTGGTGTACTTGTACATACAGGGTGCGCCATCTTTTGTGTCGGTATGTAAACATTGAATATCTTTGAAAATAAACAACCGATTTTCAAGTATGAGATATTTTTATTTAATTTGGTTCTGTACAATTTCTTGAACTGAGGTTTTCAACACTGGTCTACTCAAGTCAATCGGTTCACTAATGACAAAGTTATTCAATATTTACATACCGACATAAAAGATGACGCACCCTGTATGTATGAATGTGTCCATTGATTATATGGCTATAACTCTTGGGTGTGGATCAGAAAAAATGAACAAACTCGTCCTTTCTCGGGCTCAGAAGAATCTAGATACCAAGTTTGGTTATTCTAGCTCTTATACTTTCTGAGATCCTTGCGTTCATACAGACAGACAGACAGACAAACAGACGGACAGACGGACATGGCTATATCGACTAGGCTTGTCATGCTGATCAAGAATATATATACTTTGTGGGGTCTGCCACGCCTCCTTCTGTGTGTTCCATGTACACTCGCACAAAACTTATATACCCTTGTACCCTTTGGCGTAGAGGGTATAAAAACCAATAAACCAAAATGGTAAATAACACTATCTCTTATGCACACACAATTTATTAGAACGATAAATATAAAGTATAAACTTATGCGATCAAAGAAAACTCGTTTGAAATGAAAACAAATAGTATGCAAACAGGAACTATCATCATATTTAGGTATACGTATAAAAAACAGAAACTCTGATAATAATTTTATTGATTTATGCTCAGCAAGGTCGGACTGAAGCTTTCAATCTAATAGTCACTGTCATCTGTAGGCTCTTCGATATTCATTTCAAATTCGTCCTTACCAGTTGATTTCGATTTTTGCTGCTCCACAGAAATGTCTTTCTGTTTAGTGGGTTGTTCATCGTCTGGCTCTTCAAATAAATTCTCGAATCGCATTTTTTTGGCCCTCCTTTTGCGTGGCTTGGGCTGAGGTGATTTCCAATTGGCCGCCTCATAGCCATCTACTTCAATACTGGGCCTGTCGTCCAGCTTCTTCTTGCGGCCCCTGCCTCTCTTTCGTGGACGCTTTCCACCTACTTCTCCAGCAGCATCGTCCTCATTCCCTTCCTCCTCCATTTCATCAGTGTCCCCCTTTCTGCGGCCCTTTTTCTTTTTCTCCGGTGGTGGAACCACAAAGTTAATTATAGCTTTGGTGCGTTCCAACATTTCCTGGCGCAAAATATACTGCTTTTCGCGCAGTTTCTTCTCTTCCAGTTGTCGTTGCCGGTCGGCTTCCTCCTCCTGCTCCTGCTGTTCACGATATCGTTGCTCCTGCTCCTGCAAACGTATGACATCCAATTGTAGAAGATCCCGTACTCGACTCAGATGTGCTGGCACAGCCTCCAACAGTTGTCTACAGTTCTTTGCCTGGACTGCGGCCAAACGGCCCATAAGTCCTTGACTGCCCTTGATAGCGACCACATACTCAAAGAATCTTTGGATCAATTAAATGAATAACTATCAGAAAATAAATAAGCTGGATGCTTACCGCTGCGCCACCTCCACTTGATGCTCGGCACTCTCCAGTTCCTCGAGCAGTGGCCGCTTCTTTCCAAAAATAGCCACGCTCTCTAGTGAGATGACCAGCCCCAAGTTGAAGAGAATTCCTTCATCGAAGGGCGCCAAATGACGGGCTCGCAGCAGTGCCATCTTGGCCTCATTGTAGCGCTTGCCATGTAATAGCGTATATGCCAGATGTTGAAGCAGCTTAACGTTATTGGCCAGCCCCAAGTGCTCCAGACAGTGCCTGTAGGTTTGGCAAGCCTGTGGATACTGCCCGAGCTGGAGAGCCACATGCGCCAGGTTTACGGCGGCATCCGTGCAAAGATTAGAGCTTTCGACAACTTGTTTAAAAATAGTTCCACCCTCGGTGAGCATCCCGCGACTACTTAAAGCAGCGCCAATGCCATTGGCCGCCCATATATTGCACGGATTCTTCTCGAAGGCCTAGCAAGAGCTCTCAACATAACTCTCTAGAAACTATTTATGTACACAGAGCTGCTTACCCTTTTAAAGAACTCCAGAGATTTTTCCTGATTTCGCTTAGCCACCATCTGGTCTCCGCTGGCCTCCGCCTTCTGTATATTGTGTAGACAGACGTTCCCGACTGCAATCAGCGTATAAGAATCGGTAACACTATGCGAATGGCGCAGTATCGCATTGTAGTTGTGCATGCCCAGCGCCACATGACCCTGTTTCACATAATGATTGCCCAGATAAGTTCTGAAACGGGTCAATGGTTAGGCAATATAATTTCATGTTAGCGAAATAGTTGGCTCTAATCAGTTAAAAGAGGATTATCTATCATAGCGCTAGTGCATAAGTGTACTATATATGAGAAGAACCCTAATCACATTTGTGTAGGCCTCCTAGAAAATAATTGTTTTATAAATATTATTTTATAATTGCTTTAAATACTTTATATCAAGTAGGTCTGCCTATGGCCGATCTGTATTAAAGCCGCTTTTCTTTTTACTAAAAAATAGTCTAGTTGCTGGTTTGTCACAAACACTTTTCTTAACCGAATTCCAAACTCTTTTAGTTTGTTCTAATCACCTGTTATTATATTGGCAATATATTGAAATTAATAAGGAAAAGAAAAATGACTTTGTCTTGAATAAGGAACGTCTAAGAAACGTTTTACTGATTCCAATTGTTTAGTTTTGATGTTTGTAGTATCAAACTGGATTTCACACTGGAATTGTTACACTTAGCAGCAATTAGGTTTAAATTATTTTCTATTGAACTTTAAACAAATAGAGTTTTGGAAAAATTCGGACAAAAACGGGTCACGCAAGAATCTCAGAAACGATAAAAGCTAGAATAACCAAAGTTGGCATCCAGATTCTAGGTCCGAGAAAGGACGAGTTTATTTTATTTTTTGGAATTTCGCCGGACTGTTGGTTTTGAAATCAGTTTGAAAATAGAAACTAATTAAGATCGCTGTTACCTCGCTGCCAGATTCGCTTCGTCCACCTTGAGTGCGTCCTTGAAGTATTCGGTGGCGGTCACTAGTTGGTTCTGGCTGTAAGCCATGACACCAAGCCGCAGATAGCTGTCAATATAGGTAGGATATTCGACAATGAGATCCTTGTAGCTCTTCTCGGCTAGTTCAAAGTTACGGAGCTGTTCCTGGGCACGCGCCAAATTGAATCGAATCGTTAGCGCATTCGATTCGGGACCAGCACGTGCCAAGGCCTCATCCAATAGGGGGATAGCACGTTCTGCGTGATCGTCGTACATGTGCAATGCTGCCATGTTGTTCAGCCACTCCACGGGCATAACAGAAGGGTCGCCGGGCCGCGTCTCGTACACCCGCTTGGCCTGCTCAAAGGCATGCAACGCTGGCTCCCAAAGGGCCTTACGCTCATAGAGGAAGGCCAGACTCAACCAGCTTTCGTAGTCGTCGTCTGAGCACAGTACCACCTGCTTAAATAAATCAATGGCCGTGTCCAGCTTGGACCGCGCCTTGTCATTGCGATACAGTGTGCCCAGGATGCGCATGGCTAGCAAGTAATTTGGCAGGACCTTCAGCACAGCTTGGAGACACGGTTCGGCCTAAGCAAAAAAATGTCAAACGTAGGAATAGTGGGAATTTGCATTTACCTTGTCGAGCTGCTTGCGATGCAAATACATTTGGGCCAGACCCAGTTGTGGGAGCACGAAAGTGGGCGAAGCTATCCTGACAGCTTGCAAGTAAAATTCAAAGGCCTGATCATAATTGCCCTCAGCATGATAGCTGCGCGCGATCTGGAAGGAGGCACGCGTCTGGATCTCCTTGTTGTCGCTGTTCTGGAATGCGTTGCCCGCCAGGATCCGCAGCTTTTCGAAGTTCCGCGTGTAGAAGAAATGATGGGCCAGATGAACGAGCACTTGTGGGTTCCGTGTGTTAAGCTCATAGGCGACACTCAACATGCTTATGCCCTCGCGATTGGACTCAACGGTTCCCTCATTGAGCTTCAGCAGCGCGAGTCCCAACAGAGCGTTGGCACATCGGCTATTGTACTCCAGGGCCAGCTCAAAGCAGCGACGGGCACGCTGCACATCGTGCAATCGCAGAAAGCAATGGGCCATTCCGACGCGCACATCGCCAGGACCTCGGGGCTGGAAGCGCAACACGCTCTTGAAGTAACCCAAGGCGGCACGATAGTCCCGACGGTTGAAGGCCACGCAGGCGCGGCCAATCAGCGAGGGCACATTGTAGGCACATTGCTGAAGTACCCCAATAAAGATGTTGTCCGCCTCCTGAGCCCGTCCGGCTGTCAGAAGCAATGCGAAGCCATGACTAACCAGATGATGCCGGTCAGTCGACCGCATGTCATCAACTACGTTAAATAGATTGGTTGCCTTGGCCTGCAGAACGGCGCGTCGATTGGAAACCTCATGGTAGGCGAGGCGCGTGTAGTAAGCGGCCAGTAGGCTATACGTGCGTATGAGGTCCTCCTGGTAGCCAGGATAACTCTTGTTGCAGCGCGAAATCGCATGCTCCAGCACTCTTACAAAGTTCTCGTACTGCTGCAGGTTATAGTAAGCCAACTGCGAAGGGAAGAGAGGCGCTGACTGTAAGAGAGAGAAGCTGCCGTGTTTTAATCGAGCCTACCGCCTTCTGTATCCATATGCGCAAATACATGCGATTAACGCTCAGCATAGAGAGCGTTTCGTCCACATCGCCAATAATATCGCTGGCCTCGCACAGCTAAGCAAATTGGTGAATAAATAACAAACTCGAAACATTGCTTTCTTTACTTACGTTATTTGAGGACTTCGACGACGTCATGACCTCGAATGCAAAAATAGCTTCCTGTCCAATTTATTTTGACAGTAATACCCGTATGTCTATTCAAACAGCAGTGCTGGAAAACAACCTACAGACCGTTCGATAAGCATATATCGTTATAATTTAAAAGCCTCTATAAGCCTTTGGCATATGCGAAACAGAGGTTTTATTCTAAAAACACATATGAACTCTGCCTATTTATCTGAACGCCGGAATGTTTGCAAAATATTGTATTTGCGGTCAGAACGCATACTGATTTTAACCAACAATGAAAAATGCAATTATTTGAAGGAAACACTTTTCCAATGGAGTTGGCTCCCAAAATTTACATTTCCGTTCCTCGATTACTGGGCTTCCAACATGATATCGGATGTTATTTTATTGGGCGACAATAAAAAGCAAATTAAGGTATTCAAAAATGAAAAGGTTGCTATATACATGAGTTATTTTGTTTTTATCATTTTAGGATAAAATCGTCTTTATACATGTATATTAAATATTGTTTAAAGCGATCTGAAAACTATTATTATATGCATGTAACGCCTCCAAATCAAATTATATGTGTTTGTGAACATAAGCACTATAATCGTGTGACGAATGATTTTTGTAAATACATACATACATATCTTCGCATGTATATTATGTATATGAATATTACATATTGATGACGCAAATTACAATGATTTCTATTAACGTAATTATACTCCGTGCTTCCACTTTGTGGTTGGTTTTCGTGATGATTGAAGCATTTTGCTGGTCACCATTGCAGGCGCACGTGAACATATGGCCGTGAAGCCGAAAACAACAACAAAATGCGATACAATGCCATGATATAGAAAACGAAAATGAAATTCATTTATAATGAAACCTCGTCACATTACCTTTGGGACCCCATACCCAAGCACCCATGGTTATTGTCGAGTTTTCTTTGGCATCGTCAAACATAAACAAGCATTATTATTATTTATTTTATTGTTATTATTATATGTTGCGCTCAAATTACGCTCAAACCAAACAGAAAGGGCATTAAAAATAAACATTGAAGAAGTAAACACATAAACAAGTACATATGTGCATACGTATGTATATATGTAGATAGGTACGCACATATGTATGTACAGAACAATGCTAATCCATTTGATATGGCAGATTACTGTCCACAATAACAAGTACTCCAGCAGCAGTGAATACATCCGCATTCAAACCAAGACAACTCCACAACAGAATTCAGAACTTGTTTTGACAATAATTCGACTATAAATGCGTTCGACTGTCCATGGACCAGCATCAGTCAACGCACTCCCATCTTTGAGAACGTTCGTCGCAAAGTAAAACCAAAACCACCAAAATCAAAATGAAAGTAAGTCAGTCCGTCGTCAAATTGTGATAATAATCGTTGAAACTATCCCCAACCTAGTTCCTCGTCTGCATCTGCTTGGCTCTTTGCGTGGCCGCTGCCCAGGCTCATGTTGTGGCTCCTGTTGCCTATGCCGCTGCCCCGGCCCTGACCTACGCAGCCGCTGCACCTGTTGCGACATACGCCGCTGCCTTGCCACGTGCCTATTCCGCATACTCAACCTACGCCGCTCCCTCCGTCTACTCTGCCTCATATGTGGCACCATCGGTTTACTCCGCATACGCTGCCCCCGTTGCCACCTATGCCGCTGCACCCGCTGTTGTGTCCACACTATTGAAGAAGTAAATCGAACTGGATGTATCCACCTGAAACTGTAAATATTGCGACATAGTGACAATGTTATAATATTTGTGATTTGTGATTTGATTGGCAAGAAAAAAAAACTGGGGCCTTGAAACCGTTTAAATAAACTAAGCGAACACTCAACAAAATTTCAGAATTTTATTCAACTCGACTTTCTGGTTAAATGAATTATAGAAACCCGCTTCGAAATCATACATTGATACATATGTATGATAGCGACCGATTTCGGTGCCAAAAAAATCAATTTCTTCTACGAATGGGAGCCCCCAGCAATCTTTAGCACCTTCCATCTACCTGATATATACTTTCAATATACCATAACAGAAGGGTGCTTATCAGCATGCCTTCGTTTGCCCGTTCGCATGAACATCAAGAAATTTCAAGCCATAGTAAATGCAAGGAATTTTCTTACGATATTGTAACAAAAGTGTGTGTTTATTGGTTGCTAATGATAGCTTGCTTATAAAGTGATTTCAAGTTGAAATTAAAATAATCCCTATTGGGAACACCTTACATATTTCGCTAGTAAGCTTGCCTGACACTTCTTAAAGTGTGCTTAAGTGAAGAAATTCAAATCAAGATACATGTAGATGCTGCTGAGTATAAAGACAAGGTTGGTCGACCTGAGCAAAAGAAAGAGTTTGCTGATCCGCCAGTTTAATTAAAAGCATTATAATGTTTCTTAGAATTTTGTAAAACAGTAGTAACCACTAAAAGCAAAACGAGCATGCAGTCTAGCTTAATTCAATTCACTATATGTACAGTCTTTGGACTTTTGTTTGCTTCTCCAACAAGCCGTTAATAACATGCAAATGAATTATCACAGGACCCGGGCACAACACGAGCACGTGTTTGTGCCGCACACATAAGCCGAACCAGCAGTCACATAATCCCCCATAAATGCTCCGTAAACTTTGCATATGTTTATGCACACGCACAGATACGCACTTTCTGGATAACAGCGCTTTACTCGAGTGTCACGCCAGCCAACTAATCACCTAAGTAAATTTATTGATTTTATTTACCTCGCCCAAACTTTCTTAAATATGTATTTATCGAATCGCTATTACGGTCGATCGAGCAAGGAGAAGCCTCTTTAGAATACATTGTTCCTTTTTTTATACCCTGCAGCCGTAGGGTAAAAAGGGTATATTAGGTTTGTGCAAAGTATGTAACATGCAGAAGGAAGCATCTCCGTCCCCATAAAGTATATATATTCTGAATCAGCAATCGATCTAGACATGTCCGTCCGTCTGTCTGTCCGTCTGTCCGTCTGTCTGGATGATGAACGCAAGGATCTCAGAAACTATAAAAGCTAGAATAACCAAAGTTAATATCCAGACTCTTCTATGAAAGGACGAGTTTATTTTATTTTTCTTGAATTTTGCTTTGCACAAAATCTTCTCAAAACTCAAAAGCTATGAGACTAAACATCATATCAGTGCTGTGGGTCTATAGGGGGCCATATTAGTGTTACTTTTACATTGTTGCGCCAAAATATGTCGAATAAAGAAGTGGAGGTGGGGAGGGCGATAATATCCATTTGTGGCAGGCACATTTATTTCCCATTTTGTATGCCACTAAAAGATTAAATAAAATATAAATTGATTAAAGGAACAATTGGGGATTAAGGTCAACCGACACTATTCTTTTTGTCAAATCGCCTACAATGACATACATATTTTATTCACATATTTAACTAATTTAACCTTAATTTCTTTAGCATTAGTAATGGATGCATAATCATTTATTTAGTTCATTCGTCATAACACGCCACGAAGGTGGCATAAATATTTAATTAAACAATTTCCAACAACATTCCAAATATGTTGCCATGCAAAACAAATAAATTATTTAGCAGCTTATCTAAAATATCACAAGACAATATGCCGCAATTTACAATGAATTATATTTCAGTGAGGTACTGCGTGCCTTTAAAATTTATGCAACAATAAACTTAAATTATTTCAAAAATGCATTGCATTCAAAATTGTGGTGAACTCGGCCTAATTTCTCAGTAAATGAAATATTCAAATATTTTTGCTCTATTCTATATTTTGGAAATAACAAAATAGTAGTAACTAGTACTAGTAATAGAAGTACATTTAATTGTTAGATAGAAAACAAAATCTGTTAAAGATACTGTAGTGCGCTTGCCTCGCGCAGCATAACCGCTTTTCAATTCTTTTTTTTTTTGAGCCCAGAAGTAGGCAAAGGAGTTATTTTGGTTCTCTTCTGTTTGGTTGTTCCTATTTCGTAGGATTTATCGCCCTCTGGTGGATAGTGAAAGTGGTAACGTCATCAAGAATTTCTTTTGGTATGACACTCGTTGTCAAAGGACGGAAGAAAGGAGGAATTCCCGCAAACAAAGGTTTCCTTTCTTCGATGTTGGTCAAGCTCTTCCTTTTTGGTTTCGACCCCTGAAGTGAACAGTTGTGCGCGCTTAGCTCGATTATAAGTGGAAAAGTTTAACTTATATCAGATTATTTAAAAGTAATATTGTGGTGAACGTGGCCCAGAGATATAATTATTTATTCGGTCACTGTCCAAGCGCCGTATTTACCAGTAAGTGGTCTGTGTCTTGCCTGCAAATTTTACAAGAGCGAGCGAATGAAGCAATAGAAGCCCACCCGGAACCGAGGGAATTAGTTCACATAATTTGTGGTGCTGTTCCAGTTAGGAATTGGCACCACAAGTGCAAAATCAAGCACAAGTGCAGTTTCAAGCACAATTGCTATTTTGTTCGAGGTATTAGAACAAGTGCAGCCTACCCCCCGAAAAGCTCTGCACCGACTCCGTCCCCCTGATGAAATAGGCGACAGTTCACCGTCGGCCTTTATATACGACAGTCGCCGCGTGCCGTTCAATTTTTAGTTTCGGTCGTAGTGTGCCGAGTCAGCTGCTTATGAGATTTCACCCAGTGGAGTCATTGACCTCGGGCCACCGAAAAGGGAATTAATAACTTGCGTCAAACGGGCCAGCCACGGGTCTACGTGGAAGATTCGGCTTGAAGCTGAAGCTGCGACAAAATTTGGCTAAGGGTCCGTCCCCTAACCTTAAAAAGGGCGCAGACGACACCCATTTCATATATAGTTATATATTCTTTTATTTTATGGTTTGGATTTTTTTTTCTGTGAAGTCATTATTCTTTTTTTTTGTTATAGTGCATATATTGCGATACAAATTAGTGAAATATTACATATGTATATGCAGAAGCCAAAATATGAGCTAGCGCAAGGCAAAAGTGAAAAGAAGTTTTAACACCACCAATATAGTGGAAAAAAAAAAAAAAAATGTACAGCAATTTGCTTTGACGCCGCCGCCTCTCTCGCGAATTATTGTTCTGCTTTTCAGCTGGCCGCCGCTCACAAAAGATCTTTTGGACGTGGATCCACCAGCTGTGAATGTGAGTACTCGCTTTACTTATTTACTCCGCCTCTCTGAGAGAGCTTTTTTTTTCCTTTTTGTTGTTTGTGTTTGAGGGCGAATGCGCGGGTGCTGCAAACCGGCAAACAATATATATATATGAATTATTATTACGATAAATATATTGTTTGTCATATGTTCGCTGCATACGGCAGGCCACTTGCTGTCTATAGTAATTACAAAAAAATTTTTAATTAAAAGAATTTAATTTTGAATATGGAAAAGTTCCTTTAAATTAGTTAAAGTTGCCAGTCATATTATTTTGCCCTGATGCTGCACCTATACCTTTGAATTTTTAAATTGTTAACCATAATTTTTATTATTTTATAAATTTTATTATTTGCCTTTACATTATATACATCTTTATATGAATTTGTACAATTGATAAGCAAGGTTGAAATTGTTTTTATTGTATGGTTAACCACCACGAATAGTTATCTAAATGAATTTTATTCAAAATTTAAATTAAATGAATAGTTACACCATGATGTTTTAACGTGTCGTAATTTGTTAGAAGCCATGACGAGAGGTGGGTTTTTGACGTAGGTTCTGGTAATATTAGGGATCACCGGTTTCGGCCTGCGGCCAAAGGTGATCATGGTAGGGTGGGCACCGAACCTGCTGACGCAACACCAGCAGCACAGCAGAGACCAGAGGTAGAACCCTTTACAACGACAATTTAGTTTTTCCGTACTCGCTTTCTTTTCCGTTCTAATACTTTCCTCCAGACATACCAAAAAACAAAATATCAGTAAAAAAAAAAAAAAAAAGTAAATAAAAGCACGCGAATTTTAATGGCATTAAATATTAGCGATCGAGCAGGTAGCACTGCGGCCATAAAGAAGAACCACCCCCATATTGCCGACGACCGCCGTAGCCGGAACAAGCGCGTGCTCCGCTTAGCCGCTACACCCACCATCAGCTCGGCCCAGAGTAGTAGCGATATACGTTGCATGCTACAGTAATTAATAATATATTAATGTTATTTTGGCGCCCAACTCAAGGGCCAATTTTGGTCACGATTTTGGCCAAATCGTTACCTCGTTGGTTCCATTCTCTTAAGTGATAGGTCAGTAACATCAGACCACCTTTTTTGGTTATCTTGGTTGAATATTTTAGTCCTTCCCTTGTCCTAGTGATTGAAGAAATTAGCATATTGTTCACAATTGTTGAAATAGCTAAAAATATATCAATTATCTTATGTGTTTAGACAAGACTCGCTGGATATGTCATAGCTTCAGATAGCAATGACTCCGCTGTCTAATACTGCTTAAGCCATTTAATCCTTGTGCTGCTGCAAAACTGGGGAGCCAATGTTGTCTATTGGTTTTACGTGGAGTACTGAGCTACGGCCATTCCATTGGCGCAAGCAGTTGAACAGCTTCACCCTTCGGTTGCATGATGGAAGTTACTTCACTTTCAATATTAAGTGCGTCGCCTAGGCAACCAATCCCCTCCCAACTTTTTCTTTTAATTTCATTTCTGAGCTTCAGTTTGGAATCGCAACGGTCAGGTGATCGAATTGTTGTCTTTTGCCTTTTCAATCCAAAGACGTG